CCCTCCCTCTCCCTCCCTCTCCCCCCCCTCACCTCCAACCACCGGCCCTCCACCACACTCCGTCCCCTCCCCACAATATCTTAGTGTGCGACTCTTTCCTCACCATGCCTTCCGCTAAACACAGCCCCAAGCCTTCAGAGGCCTCTTCAGACGATCTCTCTTCCACTGCCTCTGCCTCTGCCTCCGCCTCTGCCTCCGCCTCCGCCTCCCGCTCCCCCTCCCCTGCTCCCACCAGCACCACCACAACCACAACAGGAAGCGAAACGCACACCTGTCCGTACGACGACTGCAAAAAGTCCTTCTCCAAGAAATATAACCTGAAAGCACATCTCCGCCTCCACACAGGGGAGCAGCCTTTCCAATGTGAGCGTCCGGACTGCAGGAAGAAGTTCAAGTGGAGATCGTCTCTCTCGAGCCATTCTATCTGGCACACTAGGAAGGACCATGGCTCCATCTCTTCTCCGGGAGACTCGAAAGCCGCAGACGCCTCCAAGAAGGACCTCGTGCCCAAATCCCCCTCCTCACCCACTGTAGCGGGGGTGGCAAAGTCCACATCGCCAGCTAAGGCTAAGTCCCACGACGCCAAGCAAGGCAAGTCCGTTGTCCCTGCGTCTTCAACAAACACTTGCGCTCAAACTAAAACAGAGCCAGCGACTGTCGCAGCTGCATCTTCGATCAACAAGAAGAAGCGTCCCCGCAACTCATCCTCTCGCAAGGGGAAGACTCCTGCTTCCACAGTGCAGTCAAGCTCCTCAACAGACGTCTCTTCCGATACCGTCCCCAGCCTGACCGAGTTTTGCTTCTCAACTGACACGGCCGCGGACAGCAAGACAACGACTGCGAAGACCACGAAGCGAAAGACATCTCGTCCCGCATCTAAGAAGCGCCGAACAATCGACAACAAGGATGTGAAGGATGAGACAAAAATGATGGAAGCTTCGTCACCGCCGGCAGTGGATGCGGACTTAGACATCTTCTCGTCGCCCGGATCGCCCGTGACGAGCGAAAGCGAGTTGTCGGAACGTTCGCTAGGGATGGACTTGTTCTCCTGTGATGTGTTCCCCTCACTGATGGGCAGCGAGGGGGAACCGCTTCCGTTGGGCACAGAGGACGTGGAAGCGTTGCTAAGCGGAGGAGGGGATGACGGTATGTTTGGGTACGTGTCACCGTCGTGTGCGACGCTCGGCGGTTTGGACACAAGGTTCGGGACTTTCGACCTGGACAGTTTCCCTAACTTTTGTATGGGCAAGGTGGATCAACTCTAACTAGACTTGTAGCTGGATGGGAGACGGACGGATGACCTAGGCATAGTGCTTCGGCATGCGTCTCGCTAGACTTGTTGAGATGATAACATGGAAGATGTTTCCGGTACAACTCATGAAATTACATGGCATCTATCGCAGGGGAAGTTAGATAGTGTAGAAGAGCCTAGCTGCAATAACAAACAGTAGCTACACTAAATACATGCATTTTTAACTATGTGAATGAGTATGGAGCGATATCCGTGGTGCTACAGCACGGTATGGTCGAGGAGAGGCAGTTGCAACAATGGACATTATGGTTTTACAGTATGATCATGCCGAGCGAGGTGTTTGGAGAGTGCATCGACATGAGTGTTGACCAGTTTCGAAAGAGATGGTTTACAGAAGTTGATGATACAGAAAGAAGAATTAAAGGTTGATGATGAGAAAGCGGACACAAGGGTAAGTAGTGGCGAAACCAGAAGGAAAGGGGGTCCTTGTGGACTGATGACGGGGAGGGTGGGGGAGAGTGACTAGGGTACAGGTTGGCAGCGGCATGAGGTATGTTCCCCGTCGGACTGTAGGCAGGTTCGGGGGGGAGGGGGAGGGGGGGGGGGAAAGCCAGGGGGGGCCGGGAAGGCGAGTTTGAGAATAGAGTGCTGTATGAGGTGAATTCGGGTATGACAAATAAACGTAATTCAGGCAAAGTGAGTGTGTAAACGTGGCTTTATCATAGGACAGTTTACAGCAATGATGACAGGATGCGGTCCGTTTGTTCCGCGAGATGGATGACGTGATGCCTGCTTTTGCTGTTCCCCTCGGATTTTCCTTTTTTTACACGCCGCGGGCGGGTGTTTTTTCTTTACAGCTCTCGACAACTTGTCGTTGTGCATCCTCGCGCCGTGCGGCCAAGATCTTTCCCTTGCATCTCACACTTGCCCTTACACACAACGCGGTAAGTCGCACGGCGAGTGCGGCCGAACAGACTTTGGCGAATTTTGCTCCATACACGGCCTGCGAGGGCGCCCCCGAACTGAATTTTTGAATTCGGCTGTCACCCATCGACTCGTCATCCCGGCCGCATCCGCGGGTGCCAAAACAGCGCCCAATGGAGACGCATATAACGCGCAGCGAGCGGTTTGCGTGTGTTGCATCAACAAATAGAAACTCCCAAAATTGTTATACAGCATGTCAATGTAATGAGCGACACCTGTGGCGATATTTCCTGCCGTGCCCAATCATCACCCGTGTGCACGCCCTCCATTCGCCCTAGACAACGCCCTAGAACAAATCATCGGCTCTCGCTCCCCTCATTCTTTCTCTTACTTTTATCCCCGCCCCCGCTCTTGCTTCCCGCCCTGTCTCTCTCGTCGCCTCACTTACCTTGCCCCCGCCTTCCCTGCCTGCAATGTCCCGAGATGACTGAGACCGAAAGGACATTGGTGTTGCACATCAGTTTTTCTCTCGCACACACCTCAACCCTGGCCCTGCCATCACACCGTGCCCAGAGGTAAGCATCACCTGAATTTCTCTGCCATATTTCTTTTTTTTGTAAGTAGCCTCGCTCGCTTGGTAGGAATATGCTTCCGCCGTCTTGACAAAACATGGCGCTCCTCAACAACACACATGTATCCCCTCCTCTGCATTTAATACTTTTCTCCACATACAAACATCCCCAACTGAGTAACTGCTCCTATCCGGTAAGCTTCACAATTTAGGTTTTCCAAACTCTCCATCGCCTCAGGTGCAACTTCCCATGACTGCTCCTCCCAGTCTGAACGCCGTGCCCTCCCTCGACACATCCCACAGACCGCCCATACCATCGCAAACCCGTGCGCGTTACCCATGTCTCGAGTCATGAAGGGGCGTAACCATTCCCACCATCCCCTTCTCCGCCTCCCCCCACCGGCCTTCACATTAACTACCACCTCTGAACGCTCATCGCCAGCGGTAAGCACGCTCAACTGGCTCAAGTCCGTTACCTGCGCCACACCCCATCGCTCCGCTCACCTGTAGCTCACGCACGTCCGTTAACTGCTTGAGCTGCACATATGCCCCGCGTCCCCGGCCGCGTATAACGCAAGATACGCCGCCTGCCGCTCTTACTCCACACACCCCAGACAGACGGTCAGCCTCATTGACCTCATTGGCACTTCGTATATCCTACCGACATTTTTTTAGCACTGCGTCTCTCGCTCTCGCAACGCGACCGTAGCGGTGTGCTTTCAGTTGATCTTACTTCCATGCAGTTTCGATGATTCCCTCCTTCCTCGTTCCATGCGAGACCACTTTATACATGTATATGCTTTTTTCTGCTCATATATTCTTGCCGATCTTCAACGCTGGCTTGTCCAGCGCAGTATTACACAGAGAAATACACAGAGGCTGTCTGTGCCTCACATCTATTAATTGCGCGCAACAAACAAGAGTGCATGACAAAAGAACATGTAGGGCACGCGGCATTCTCGCGAAAGGCCTTCAAGACTGAATGTCACACGACAGGAAGACAAGTGTTGTGCCACCACCTGATGCTGTCCGACATAGGACTTTGAGAATTTTGAATGTGATTTGAGCTGGCTTACTTGTACCTGTAGGCCATCTCTCGAGCTAGTTGCCGGTTCTCGACATGCATGCCATATCAACGTGTTTCTCAACAGATAGACATTCTACTGGGTGCAATATGAACCGCCTCTCATTCTATGGGCTGCTGACGCACGCGTCTGTAAGCAATTCCCCGACTCTACTGAAGCAAGTTGACAATGGTAATACGGGAGTTTCACCCAGTCATTCGCGAGATTGTTGTGCCAGGAAAAGTCTTTCTCGGACTGACGGCAGTCTCCGGAGTGTCTGCGAGCTTTTCCTGTCGATGCTGCTTCCTGGGAAGATCTCCGGAGAGGTTTCCCTCATGAGTGCGCTTTTGGGGCGCTGAGGTGCTGAGGTCAGCAGGCAAAGAAAACATACCATTGGCCAATATATTGTATTTCGAATTTCGAATGTTTGCAAAACAAAAGTATTATTCAATTTTCAAGGATGCGTTCGGAAGCTGCTGCATAGATGGAAGCAAATATTCGGACAGGTGCCTTGGCCCCTGTGTATTTGCACTGTATTACAGATCAAGAACAGAAACGGTAAGTAGCGACTAGAAGGGAGCTACGGTAGCTTCACTTTTGCAAAAGGGTTGAAACCTTTTGCAACTCGGTTCTCGTTAGAACCCCGGTTGCAAACCAGACATGTTTCGAACGACACACAAAAGGGTGGGTCCCTATGCACTGTAGCCCAAAGTGCTACAAGCACCCCGCCGCGTTGTGACAGTGAAGGCAGAGACTTGGAGCAATGCTAATGTGGCAGTGTGACAACCGTATGTGCAATTGGGCTCGTTTCCCTTGTCTATCAGAGTGGGGGGGTTGTTTTCGTTGCTGTTGACAACAATAGACACATTCTTTCAGCAGTACGCAAGGAAGCACGTATTGTGAAACTTACCACGTACAGGGGGGGGTCACTCAATAGTGCCTACTTTAGTAGTGCTTCCCTCTATATAGTGCTATGGCTCACCGTCTGGCACAGGTTATCATACGCTCACACGTGTATCATCCGGCATGGTTCAGTACTCAAAGGATGAAGTTATTTAGTTGTGTTATACAGGCTTTGTTGTGTTTGTGTTAGCAGTGTGCTTTGTCCCCAAAAATATGTATTTGAGCCTCCTTCTATAGTGCCATCCCTCCAATAGTGCCATAGCCAGAGGTATGTCACGCTATATCACTATATTGTAGGAGGCACTGTATTGTGAAACTTACCTTTGCGCTAGCACGACATGCGGGCGTCTTTTTCTACAGATTTTGCGATTCCCAAATCTACTTAGGGCTGCCTTTAAAATTTTGATACATCTCCATTGGCCTTCTACGTGTACGCATGATCGGACAAACGCACTTTGGTCTGCCCCGCGATATAGATTCACTGCATTACACGTGACAAAGTCCGCAGCTCTATTTTAGTTTAGTTTAGTTTTTTTTTCGGGGCTTTTTTCTTTTCCTTCCATCCTCAAGAAAGCACTATAATTTGATTTACACGCACATAGCTGTAGGGCTCTCTTGCTGCCACACACTTTGCACCAATCTGCACCCTGATGGCCCACAATAGTGCCATGTGTGCATCCAGGAAAGGGCTCACTTGTACACGTTGTTTATTGTCAACATATACAGTACCGTTGGCACTGTATTGTGCAATATGTACATCACTTTCGAAGGATAGGGGAGCTGCTTCGGATCATGACGTTTGTTTCTTGAGATAATGTTTCTTCTATCATCCTTTACAGTACCCTTGGTACCACTGCACGTTACCTTTGGGGGGCGCAGTTTGCGCGTTCATTTCACCATGGAGACACTTTTATCGTTGGCATTTCAGCACTTGTGGCTCACGTGCCAGAACTACGTGAATGCTATTTTGTGGCGTGCTCGTTATTTTAACACCTAGTACTCTTTCCGTGTCAGTTCGTCCTGTGTTTCCACATGCTCCGTGGCCCTCATCGTAGAACGCGTCCCTTTTTGGGCTCTTACACAACCTACAGCAACCAGTCACATTCCTGCAATGATCACCCTCCAGGTCAACTCTCACCACACTGCAACGAGCCACTGCAACGAGCCGTAGAAATCTAACTGCGGATCAATACACTACACCTGATCACAGCAATTAACCTTGGTCTATATATTAACCTGGGTTTAGAAATAAACTGGACCAGGTTATTATTGGTTTTGACCTGGAGGAAACAGTCTTATGATAAGTCGCATTTAGAGTTCCAAAAGGGCGAGAACGCATGTCGCCGCTTCGATATGGTCTTTGGGAAGAGAAGCAGCTCTTTTCTGAGCTGCAGACAATAATATCCAAGCATCGTGTCTATTTCAATGGGCAAGAAGTGGAGCCGTAATTTCTTGAATACTTGTCAGCAATGTTAGAAATCAAGGTTAATCCAGTGGTTCACAAATAAACTGGACCATGTTATATCTGATTTGACCATATATTAATCTGGGTTCACAATTAATCCGGACCATGTTAAATATGGTTATAGACCTGAAAAAGGGGCTTCAGAATTAAGTTGGCCCAGGTTAATTGCTGTGATCAGTGTACTACGCTGTACTGTACACCACTCGTCCAACTGGTGCAAACATCCTGATCAAATCGCATATTCTTCTCTTCGCTACAGCACACGTACAGCGTGCAGAGTACTCTGCGGCGTATGTACAGCGTGCAATCACCCAGCTACAGTACAATTCATGACATCCTTCTTCGCTGTGGGACCCAGTTGCGCCATAAGAATAACGGACTTCTTCACCTCATGCATGATAAAACGGTTCTGTTAAAACGTCATGGCAAATGACACAAATTTCCCTCTCATTTGTCTTTGTCTATGACGGATGATAATTTTAGGAAGATTCAAATGATGAGCATTGCGCAAACTGCTGCACATACACATGCTCCATCTAGACACTTAACCAATCCGAGGAAACATTTCCACGCCGGGGAAAGGGCGTCCCGCCCTTTCCCAACAAGATCCATCATGATCTACCCAAAAGGAAGGAGAGTGCACCTACTAAATATAGTCGAGGACTGTCAAGAGGCCTAGAGATGATAGGGCATCTTGTGTTTATGAGAGAATTGGTCAACTTGAATTCAATTCGAAAACCAACTCGACCGCTACGTTACCGCACGAAGAGGGTCAATGAGCATTAACTACAACCGCTCAAAAGACATTTTGTGTAATTTCAAGGAATACTCGAGTTGTGTCGCTAATAAATGTGGCCAACAAATGTAGTTGCCTTTGAAGCAGCATTCGCGTCCATGTTCAGGCGATAGGAAGACGCGAGTCCTACCCGACAAACACAACTTGGATTAGATGCCCATTACCGATACAGCATCGGGTATTGCCTTGCACAGACAAACATCACTACACGAATTCCAGAATTCCTTGCATTCACATGTGGGTAATTAACATTAATCAAAATGTTGTTCGAGGTTTTTGGGTTGAAAAATATTGTAGTAAAGTTATATATTATATATTCTGCGAATATTCCGGGTGTTTGGACCGCTTGATATGAGCACTGCCCCTGTCACTATTCACCTTAGTAAATTTATCCCTGTAGATGCCGAGAGATGGATGATGAATTGATGCTCATCCGAAAAGTTGAATTCTCTAAGAAACTGAAAGTCGTAAAGTTTACATATAGCCCAGTCCATTCGAATCAAGAATGGACCCCATCTACTGTACTGTTCAGAAAAGGGTTTCAGCACGCATATGCATCAAAACCATAGCCAATGGAGGCTCTTCCTCAAGTAGCTTCAATTCATGTCACCAATATGATTCAATTCCTACACTCCATGAGGAAACAACAAATGGATTCGTCCCAGACTTGATCGCCGTGTGTTGACGCATGGGTCGATGTTAACATTTCTAACCCGTGTGCTCTGCGCAAAGCACAACACAACCATCATTACAAGTATTCGAGCATCTTCCGTGAGTCCCTTCAAGAGCAAAAGAAAGGCGTCTTTCTCAGGACCCGAGACAACGACACGTCTCCTACGGGATTGCAAGTCTGGTCGTGTGGAAACGTTTGAATTGCTGTGGTTACTAGTGTTACGGTATGTTCCTGCAGCAAAAAAAACAAAAAAACAGCATCTTCAGCTTTCTAGATAAGCAGAAGGTGGGACGTCAATGAATTTCCCGAGCCGGCTAGCTGAGAGTCACTGAAACCTGTCTTGTCAACTTGTATATCCAGCATGTTCTTTCGAGAGCTTTACTACGTTTTCATTTCAAGTTTCCCTTGAGGACAAGGGCGCTGGAAGATTCGTTTTCTTCATTTAAGAGCAAATTGCCGTGCGCGAGGGAGTGCTAATTTGACACCTGTCGGAGCAACGTAATAGCATGCTCTGACAAATAAAAAGCAAAACGCCACGACAATTTAGTGTTCCGACTGTTCAAAACATGGAAAGTGGAACGAGGAGCTGTATCTATTCTCTGCTCCATTAAAATAAAGAATTAAGAACAGAACAAATGACAGGCAATTTAAGGTAGACCAACTTTACTTTAAACCTACGCCAGCGATCTACGGAATTTCCTTGTCTATGGCTTAACTACGGTTCGTTGCTCTTTTCAGACGTTACGTTCAAAGTTGGCAAAGATCGGATTGAGCTAATTGAATTGAAATTTTCTCTCAATACTTCTGGCTCAGATAACTGCGTTGAAATCACCACGACGCTAGAATCCATCCATGATGCCAGCTCTCGTAGCGTCTTGTTTTCAGACGTTAGATTTTCGAGTTCTGTTTGCAAGGCTTCCATCCGGCGTCTCTGCTTTGTCCGACATTTTTCCACGCTGGCACGGTTTTTCACTCTCCGAATTCTCTTGAGTTCCGCTTCGCTTAAATGTCCATTGCAACCTGCAGCTTGCACTCCAGACTTCTCATTGGTTGGGTTTGTGGTTGCACCGTCCTTTTCTGATTTGACAAAAGACGTCTCTGTTTCATTTTCGGAGGCAATGAAAATGTCATTTCGACCTTTAAAAGCAGTCTTTTCGCCAGCAGTGAACTGAAGTTGCTCAGACACGCAATTCTTATTGAGGACGTTTTGAGCTTCGGTATTTGGTACTTTTCTTCGGTAGCTGTCTTTATCTCTCACTTCTGAGTCCGATATAAGCACGGTTGCGTTCCATTGAGTCAGAGAATGGGGGGACTCATTAGATTTGACTGTGTTTTTCATTTCAGTCTGGACTGGATACAAGGTGGAATCGCCATGAAAACTTGGTTTCAGCTGTCGAAAAAGATCATCAATAAAGTTACCGTCCTCGTTTCCACCCGAGAGTGGCAGGTCCATCATTTTAGCATCTATGCCGGTGGCTGCTTCGTTTCCAGGTGACAACGGAGTCTGATACGGTGCTTCTGCTTCCCTAAACAGGTCTTCCATCTCTATGAAATCGTTTTTTGGAAGCATCGGGACTCTCCCTTCCTTACCGACTTGACTCCTTGAGCTTCGTTCTGAAAGAGGCCTGTTTAGAGCTGCCGTTATTTCCTCAGGTTGTATGAAATTAATATGAGGTGAGGGATTGGCCAGAACAAATGGAGAACAAGGACCCCAAGTCTCTACTCCTCGTGGCGATGGGGAAGTTAGTTTGCACGTAGACTTCTTTTGATTATCACTTATGACGTGCAACACAGGATTTACTTCGCTTTGGAGACCAATGCTTTCTTCTTGTTTCGGCATCGTAGTAGCAACGTCCTGGCCTTCCCTGGCGAGTGGGTCAGATGTGACACTCATCTTATGCTTGATGTGCGGGGGTGTGAACTGAACCGCGGCTTGCGATATCGAAATGGCGATACTGCACGCAGAATGCTCTAACGCGGTGTCCTGGTGATAGCGATCGTCCCTCGTAAACCTTCCGTGTAGTTGTTCTAGTTACGACATGCCGTATCGTCCAATAGACCTCTTTGCAAACATCCTCAATGGCCTTTTCTTCTGCGAGCAATTTCAGGTCACTTTAAACCGTAAAGGCCCAACCGATACTATTCGTATTGAGAACCTTTTGGGAAAGGAGTCAGGAAGAAAGGGGAGAGAGGGGGAGATATCATTATGCTGTTTTTCAAATTAAGAAGATTGGGAAAGGGTACGCCGTTTGCTGTAACATAACGGCAACGGCAAGAGGATACAACCAACAGCTACCAAGACTCTCTTGAGGGCCACGTAATCCAAGCTACGGGAGTGAGGTATTTGACAATTCTTTGGTGCTTGGGACACATTGCGTCGCAACCCTCTGTTGCAAAACGTCTCCGATGAGAGGGGACGGCTTGCATGCAACCGTCCGGAGAGCAGGTAAAATTATCTCAGGGACATATTTCAAACGGTCTTCAATCACGATTTTGAAAACTTCTTCCACAACCCCTCTTCCCTAGGAATCAAGTTTTCAATATTTTCAACAGACTGCTGATGGGCTTCTAGGCCGCAGAATAGTCGCCCACAATGCTCCAAAGAAGCGCGTTTACGTATGCATTGGGTCGGCTTTGGCATGCAGAGAGCAAATCGGAATCCTCCCAAGGAGCTCTGTTCTCGCAGATGATATCAAATGGCGGACGATTGAATAGCTGCGAGACCGCAGCTCTGTGAAATGGAATCTGTCTGACCGCACTACCTTTCAAGACAATGAATTTGGGATCCTCATTCTCGCGATCTTGTGTCTCGCACACAACTGCATCGGCTGATATGACGCCAAGTATTGAATCGTGTGTCGATGATGTTGTTAGATCAAAATGCGGAATGCGAGTCAGCAAAGCTCTTACTTTGAGGCCCGTATTCGATTTGTACGAAAGATAGGACAGGAAGAATCCAGTGCATTTGGGATAGCAAAGCAACGTGCGGGCTGATCATGGCTTCCTCTGGTATCATGAAGCCCAGAGCCCGAACGATTCAAGCCTTCAGTACTTTAGAGTCAGTCAGTGAGCATACGAATAATACTGTATACTGCGCGGTATGATCAGCAGCGAGGGTGCTTAACACGGAACTGACTAGGAACATGTTGTAGGGTGGTTCTGAACTGTACTTATGCATTTGTATTGCAGTTGCATGTGTGACGGATACGGTATAGAGCACACACTGCAGGTGAGGAGAACGCATCGCTGGAGAGACGTCTCTTTACGGCACCTTCAAGGCAGGAAGATGGGCTTTGCCAACCAAAATACTCTCCCCCCAAACCATGGCCAAGCGACGGCAGAGTGAGAAGCGCCCGCGTAGGCCCTCAACGCGACGCAAACCAACAATCCCAGTTTCAGACCAAATTTTTTTTATGGAGTCTTTGGTAAAATTAATCAAAACTTGCAACAACTGATGTCGCCGCCGGCAAAGGAGCTGGACGGTCGGTCAAAGAAGCATCGGCATATTCCAGGTGCTACTACAGTGTACTGGACTGCACGCAGCGAAGTTGGACTTGAGAGCCTGTACGGGTGGCACAACTCTGCTTACGCCTTTCTTTGCATTGCGCTTCTATCCACAGTATCTTCACCTGAGGGGAACGGCGTGTGGTGTATCGTTTTTCACCGCTCGCCATTAATCTGAAAATATTTTCCCCGTACGTGTGCGAATGGGCTCGCAAGCCAGGACTAGTGCAGAAAAGGAATGACGGAAAGTACGCCGGACAGAATGAATGTGGAGGGACCGTCGGAAACTCCCTCCAAGCTTGCCCTAGGGAGTGACAGGAGAGAAAGAAAGAGCAAACGACGTGTTGAAGATCAGAAATCGAAAGCTGGACGAGACGCTCGCAAGCGATTGAAAACAGGTACCGAAAGTTCACGGCAAAGTGCTGGTACAGCTGATGAAGAGGATAGACCTGACCAGACAACCTCATTTCGGCACCTTTTCTCGTTTGCGAAGGGCGATGGGGTCGAGAAACCAGAGGAAGCATCGAATTCTTTCTCATTGTTTGGTGAATCCCAGGAGGAAACGACGTCCGGCAACTTCCGGCCTTTCGGTGAGGAGAATCGTGCCAGCGTAGAGCAAAATGCCTTCAACAGCCATCATGGAATGCCAAAAAGAGGACCCGCACCGGAATCAGGTAGGACTGACGAAGGAATGGCTTGGTACATGTCACGGGTTCAAGTTTCCAAGACATCGAGAAGTGCTTTACCGAATGAACAAGCTGGACGTTCTGGCTTTGGTGTGAAATCGCAGAGCGCTCTTTGTTCTTCTGTTTCCGCCGACGACATCGATACTAGTCCCGGCGCCATTTTAGAGATAGCGAATGGGTTTTGTCGCTCCAAGGATATGGAGCAGCTCGAGAGGGAATGGTGCGAGGAAAACGGGACTCGGGATCAAATGAAAAGGGATTTCAAGGCGAAGAGAAACAGAAGCTTAAAAGATAGAAATTTACGAGGAGGCTTCAGACTGTAGTCAGGTTTTGACACGCAAGAAATGAACTTCATATTCATGCGACTTCAGACGAGGCCATCCTCCTCGGAAAGCCTCACCTTGAATTCGTGGCTATAGTTGTTCGAACTTCTTTTATTCCTCATGGGGATATGAGCTCACCGTAGTCAATGCTCATGTCCCAACTGTTCATTACTAATATTCCGTAGCGATAATCTTCTTATGTGCTAGCTAACCGCTAGTTGTTCCCTCCTTCTAAGGGCAGAGGCATCAAAAACACGTACATGGAAAATACGAACGAACGATTCGGCTGCCCCATGGAAGACCGCGATTGTCGTGGAACGGCTACGGATCTGGTCACTTGGATTCGGAGAGCAGGTAAATCTACAACCGAAGCGGAAGCGGTTGAATGCTGCGACAAAATTCGGCAATTGTCATTCGACTCTCGAATGGAGTCTGGACTCTGCGGGAAAGCGGTTGCATCTTGCTTGAGTGTCGTACAGTCATTTGAGAGTGAGCGATCTGTGCAATGCAGCGGTCTGCTCGCCTTGGCTGCATTGTGTGAAAAACAGCACCTTTCTGCCCTGATTGGCGAGAGGGGGGGTGTGCACCAACTCCTCGACGCCTGGACTCGTTTCGCGGCGGATGATGTCATCATCAAGAACTGCGTCGTTACAATGAGATCCCTCTCTGAGACAGAACAGAACCGAGAGATTTTTTGCACGAATGGAGGCATTGAGAAAGTAGTTACAACATTCCAGACCTTCCCCGCTCGCGTCTCTATACGAAGTGCGGCGGCGGTCTTGATCGCTAACTTGTGTTTTGAAAACAAACAACGACGGAAGAGCGTCATCGATAGCAAGGCAACGGAATGGCTCATAAACGGACTGAAGAATTTCAATACTCCAAACCACTTTCGATTGCATACAAATACCTGCCTGGCTCTTCGAAATATTGCTATGGACGTGGCCGGTTGTGATGAGATCCTTCGCGTCGATCCTGAACTTCGTGCGATCGCCAAAGTCCTTCAAACGAGCGGCAGTCATTCATCAACCGCGAGTGAGGCCCTGGGAGTAGTGTATAATGTAGTGGTGGGAAAAGGCACCGCAAGCCTGTCTACGACCTGTGCTGAACAAATCTTGTCATCAATTCTTTCCTTTCTTGATCGCACTCACCGCTACCTTTCGAAATACGACGCCTGCCATGAAATCTGTCTTGCAACGACTTGCTCCGTTGTTCACACGACTGACAAGGTCAAGGAACAGCTTTCGCTCAAACTGAGGCAACAACTTGTTGCAGCGTCCCTGAAGTACTCGCAGAAGTACATGTCTTTTAAATCCCCGCTTTCGCCGTCCATAGTGACAAATGCGTGCACCTGTATCCGAGTCCTGGTTGTCGATTCAGAAACCCGAGCAGAATTTGCGAATACGGATGGTAATGGTCCTTGCACACTGGTTAAGTGCGTAACATTCCTGTCAGAGCGACCATTGCAAGTTGAGCACGCCTTGCTTGCTCTTGGAAACGCTGTATTTGATTCTTCACGAGGGAAAGAGCAAGTACGGTTATCCGGCGGAATACAAGTTGTCCTTGACGTGATCAACAGGAACTATTTCGTTGCCTCTGTAGCAGAAGCAAGTCTGCTGGCTATACAGGGCATCTGTACACAAGACGATTCCAGTGGGAACCTTGCCACGACTCTAAAAGTCCACGGGGCATGCGTCCGGACGATGAACAGTTTTCGAGATAATCCAGCCATACAAGAGCGTGCTCTAGCAGCAATGTTGAGCTTCGGAACCGATGGTGAAGCTGTCAGAGAATTGAAAGCGTTATCTGTACTTGATATAGCGGCGACGGCGGCAGCTGCGTTTCCTTTCTCGAAACTGATTGCTGCGCAGGAGCATCAACTCAGATGGCTCGTCAAGGGCGACGATGTTGGTCCAACACGCCCTTCTCACGATAGACTTGAGAGGCTGAAGTCTTTGCCACTACGAACGTGGAAGTCATTCACCCGTGGGTAAAGCTCCATCCCACAGATCGAGAGAAAAATGTGGAGGCGGGTTTTGCTAGAGGGGCTTCTCAGCCCTCACACAAACACAGTCCTAGGCGGATCGTCCGGCTCGTCTCCTGCGTTCGGACTGTCGTGCATCATCTGGCGTCGTAGCATGGAACTGAATTCTGGTGAAGCGGCCAGCCTCTCAAGATCGACAGGGCTAAGATCGCCGAGAACCTTCTCAAGATCTTGTGTGCTTACTTCAGATTCATCTGTGGCATTCATGATATGTTCCATAATCTCTTCCTTTTTCTTGACATCTTCCGCGCTCCCTTGCTCTTCGGAAAATACCCAGTCTCCTGAGTCTGCGTCGTATTGATATTCATTATCGTCAAGGGTGTCAAAGAATTCGGCAAAGGACATGTCCATTTCTGCTTCCCTCAGTGGGCGGGCCCATGTCAGCAAGGCGTCTCTGGTCCGTTTTGATTGAGACAAGTTCTCTGAAAGCGGAATTTGCAAATCCCTTGGTTTCATCCAGGAGTCGATTCCTTCTTTCTCGCATATCTCTTTCTCGTGGTCAAGGAGTGAGAAGATAGGCATGACATAATCACTACCGGTCAATCCTGAGTCCGGAGTCATAAAATCGTCTTGCTTTCTGAGCATCATAGCTGGTGACGGCAAAAAAGTGGCCGTGCCCTTGGGCCCCGTGCGACGGTTTTCCTTCTTCAAGGGGTGTTCGTTTGGGCAATACACCTCCGCACGCAGCATGAGCGATGTAATCAAGGACGAGCTCTTGCGGTGCTTGGAGATACGGCCAAAATCCGTGACGAAGACAGCCACGTACAAGCCATACACAGCGCCCATGGCCAGGGCCAGACAGGCGCCGAAAAACAGGCCGCGTGGGTCGTTGCACAGGGAAAATGCCACGGGAAAGCGCTTCCCCATGCTGACGCGCAGGTTACGCGCGGAGTCGGCGAGGAGTTGTGTTGAGGGCCATCGGAGCTGCGGGACAAGGCCGGCCAGCCTGTACGCGGCACCGGCGGCGAGGACGAAGACGGTGGCGAGAGCCCTCCACACACGGAAGACGCGGGCAAGGGGGGCGGTACCGACGCTGA